GCAGTTCAATTTTCAACGGAGCAGCTTTACGCATGTATTCTGAAAAATCACTAGACCCTTGTAACAGGAAAACATGAATGTAACAACTGCTCTTACTATAACTGCGTTTTTGCAAGCGAACGGTTTTGCTGGTCTGTACAATCTGTTATACCAAACACATGTCATATTGTTATGCACACGAAATGTTGTCATCCTTGGCGGACAAACAAAATAATAGTCTGAAATTCATAGTTACAATTATTTCGCAGACACGGATGGGCATACGGAACCGCAGTATTCCTCCTTTGATGACTTTTTTGGCGGAGAGTACCTTGTGAGAAATATTGCCGAAAGAGTCGGCGTAGACGCGGACCGTGTTCGGCGCGCTCTGATGTCCGGTCGACAACAGGAACCGGAAGTGAAGGTTGAGGCTCCTGATGATGTAGGTAAAAGTTCCGTGGATAGTACCGCTAAGGAATCATCGCCGGAATTCGGTGCGGTTAGCAGCCCAGCGATGCATTGTATCAGTGCCGCGTTTAATGCCGCTTATCGTGGAAGGACGCGGATTTGTTTCTGTCTCATTTATTATCCAAACAGCACGAAATTTTCGTTAGACCAGAAGGTTTACTGTACTGCACGGCATGCCACTTTAAAAGTCGACAACCACTGAAAATGGGGCAGCATATTGTAAAGCATCAGTCCCAGAATGCCAACCGGAAATCCAGGGTGCATGCCGTGAAGGCGCAGAATTCACTTGACTGAATGTCCGAAATCTGTTGTGTACCGGGTTCTGTTTTCACTGAGGGCAGTCTGTTTGATTCTGTACGAGCAGCCGTAGCGCCGACCGGAAGTGACTGCGGAGGAGTCTGTTGACTTACGTAACGGTTCCGCGGATACCTTTTCTGAGGCAACGTCATCGGCGCGCGGCACGGATAGTCCCCGTACCAGTGCCACAGAATTGTCGCCTATCGTGGAAGAACGCGGATTTGTTTGTAAATTATTATTTTGGTTTCGACACCGCTCCAAATACTTGCTAAACCGAAGAGTTCCCCGTGCTACACGCGGCATGCCACTTTCAAAGTGAGCAACCACTGTGAAGGGGACAGCATATGTTTATAAGCCGCAGAATGCTAACCGGAAGTGAAGTGTGCATGCGATAAAAGCGCAGAAGTTGCTTGGTATTGGTATTGTTCCTAAAAGCTTCTCATGAATCGTTTTTCCCAATCGTTTTAAATTCAAGTAAATGATGCTCAGACCTTACCGATTCTGTACAACAGTAAATCTAAAGCCATGCGGGTACAACGTAGTCGTAACACATTTTCTCGTGACTTATTGTCGTGACAGAGCAGTGTTTTTCTGATCAGGGCACGGTCAGAGGCTCCCCCCTCCGAAAAATTTCGGAGGGGAGAGTTTCTTTTTTTGCCCGAAGACAGAGTAGGTACTGGGAATATTTAAAAAAGTATTTTCTTTGGCAATGGTTCAGTGGGCGTGGCCAAAACAAATTTAATTGAGTGCCGTATGTGTTGGCAATGTTCTGTATTGGCAACATATACGGCACTTGTGTATGGTAGTTCCATGGTATGGTTGGGTATGGTATGGTTGGGTATGGTATGGTTGGGTATGGTAGTTATTGCTGTTATTAATCGTACTGGTGAAAACTCTTATTTTAAATTTTTCCATTAAAGTTCACTATTAAATAATTGGCTCACAATGAAAAAGTTTTGTGAAATCTTTGTACTTGCCAGCTGGCGCGCGTGGTGCAGCACTCGTACAGAACCCAGGACAGGTAAGAAGGACAATTGAATCAAATCCAATACCGGCGGGATTTTCTGACAAAACCAATTACCGACAATTAAAAATTAGTCAAGAAACAAGACTGCCAGTGTAGACTGCAAGCAGCTGCAAGTGTAGTGATAAGAGGCAACACACTGGTCAGGCCTTGGAACATACTTTATCACCGGACCGGTATACCTGCTGGTAAGTACAACAATATCACAAAACTTTTACGCTGTTAGCCAATTATTTATTAGTGAACTTTAATGAAAAAAAGTTAAAATAAGAGTTTTCCCCAGTAAGATTGATAACAGCAAAACCTGGAACTGAACTACGTGACCATACTGTCCAGTGTCCATACACATATGCCATATGTATTGTCAATACATTGGCAATACATACGACCAGGCCCGTCCTTAAGGAGGGGGGGGGGGAAGGCGAGCGACTCCACCCACTCCCGGAGGGAGAAAACGGGAAAAAGGTGTGCCGGGAGCTGGCATATGCACTGGCGCAAGAAAGTGCGACTGGCGCTGGCGCAACGAAAATTACAATTGAAAAGCGTAGAAAAGTGGCTTTATTGAGCCACTTTTCTACGTTTTTCCTGAAATTTTCGGCCATTTCCCAACTGGCGCAGCTGGCGCGAGGTTTTGCGCATCCCCCTTCCAAAAACCTAAAGACGGGCCTGCTTACGACATTTAAATTTGTTCTGACCACGCCCACTGAACCATTGCCGATGAAAATATTTTTTTAGGTATTCCCAGTACCTACTCTGTCTTCGGGCAAAAAATAAAATTTTTTGGAGGGGAGAGCCTCTGACCGTGCCCTAGTGAGTGGATAACTCGACAAGATTTCATGCGGAATAAATAGTAATGTGAGTAGCAGTTAATAATAATTATTTAGCACTGGTTTCAACGGTTTGTTTGAGAATATTTTACATTTGGTGTCACAACTCTCCCCCTCGATCTAACTGGCAAAAATCCCTATCCTTCTGTCTGATCCGCGAAAATCACCCCTCGTCTCTCTGAAAGGCGGAAATCCTTGCCCCTGTGTCTGACTGCAAAAATTTCTCCTCTATTTGACCGACGAAAACACTTTCCTTTTTGTCTAACCGGCGAAAGCCCCGACACCTTGGTCTATCCGGCGAAAACACAAAAACGTTTTAAAATTTTTAAAACAGCTTGTCTTAGGTTTAGAAAAAAATAAGAGGCTTCTGAATAAATGTTTTCAATTTCTCAATTTCTTTTTTTTATTTGGCGATGACGCGTGTGAACTAAGCAATCGGTTTTCAAGCCAGTTATTGCAAATACTTATTATTATTGTTATCAGTATTATAATTATTATTTATTAGTATTATAAATTGTTTATTTCTGATAGTAATGTTTATTATTTTTTAGTACTGAGTGTCCATTTTGTTTTCGAAAATAAATGGAAACCATATTTTCTATTATAATAATAATATTTCTGTTAAGAGTACTGGCTACTAAAATTATCACTAATTACCAGGGCTGTCGTAACCGTATAAGCAACCTTGGAATGCCGAAAGTCCAGGGCCTGATCTACAGAGTAATGAGTAAATTTTACAGTGTCCGCATGATGAAATTTATTAATTGACCTTATGGGGGAATGAATGAACTTATTTTACTGACCAATGGTGTGCTTCTGGCGACTTCCACCAGGAAAGTTGGCCTCGTTGCTGAAAAATCGTAGCCAAAGAAGTGTTAAATTTTGCCTGCTATAATAAATATTAAATTTCCAAATCTGAACCCTAAACGCTTCAGGTGTTTTATACAAGCAGCATATAAAAAACAGCAGAAGAAAGTTTTATTTACGGTTAAGGATTTTTACTAAAAAGTTAGAAACAGATCCCATAACTTCCGTTCAACGGTAACAAACAGCCTTAATCATCATCCATAAAATAGTGGTGTTCTTATAGGGTGGCTCTTGTTAAAATTCAGCCGTTTCAGAACGAATGTTACCGAAAACGTGCATCCGACTCGAATTCGAAACATATTAAATCTGATCACATATGACGTTTTTTCATCATGGAAAATGGCGTCTGCTCTTATTTGGTCTAATAACAGTAAGCCACTAATGCACGCAACTTCCGTTCACTTGACAGGTCTTACCGGTGTATGCGTAACAATCCTCATTATGAACCGACTCTTCTCCAAAATTTGCAAATAAACGAATACGATGATCAAGGTCGTTTTTCCACAGAACCTTAAAGTTTCACAATGTTTTTTAAACCTAAAATGAATTTCAAAATACTTCTTGCAATTTTTGTGTTTTAAAGTGTATGGCGAAATCTTCCGTGCATGTAAATATATTAACGCAACAATAATTTGGACCCATGTACCGGTACACTTTACTTTTTGAAGAATTCCGGGTGATCAATTTTAAAAAATTTGGTTTAAATTCAGTGCTAAAGATAACATTTTTTAGTCCGTTATTTTAAACACTTTAATTTTTCAAAGTTAAGCAGAAAAAATTCAGTTTTTTAATACACTATCTGGATTCATATTAACTGCTCCATGCAACAGTGTTTTAAGAAGTCCTTTAGGGTCACGTTGAACTCTTGTCTGTACCGGTACCGGCATCCGAGCGATGGTTCCAGCTCCCAGAGCAGATATCATTTTTTGAAGACAATGCAGGTGCGATCGTTTTGGAACATGCTAAGTATATTGGGAATGTCGCTTTTTTAATTTGCTTCGTGGTTTTATCTAACCATATTCACCGGGACGGCTGATCATAAGATAGATCTATGTCCTGATATATGTATATTTTCGTACAACAAATTTAAGCGCGTTTTTTCATCGGTACATAGCCCTTATCCACCTTGACAACAGTATCAAACTAATACAAAGTACCTTCTAAAAGCTTCCGAAGTAATAGATCATAGCGATAAGAACAGTAATACTGCATAACAAAGAGATACAGAGAAGACTGAAACTCTTCAGATTCAGATCTTTTCGACCTATCCAAATATAGAAGTAAGTAATCTTCGCGGCTAATGGTCTTGTTTACGCCAAGCCTTTACCGTGCTCAAGGCCAGGACAAGATTGTTTTTCGGCATCGGCCAGGCCAATGCCGCTGCTGAACACGAGACGCTGTGTGCAGTGTGCCTGTGGGCGGTAACAACTTAAAGCGGAATGTAAAGACTGTGGAAATTTGAGCCGTTCGCCAAACCCGCGCTGGACAATGCCGAATTATTTACTTATCTGTCTGACGGTCAGTAAGAAGTACTAAGAACAGGCATGCGAAGCCGCCAAAGGCCGGCTGGCAAAGCCTTGACTACAACGCTCACGCACGATAACATCAAAGTGTGATTTGTTTGATAACATTCTTTGAACCTAGTCTACCTGAGAACACAAGAAACCAGTATTCTGAGGGTCGATGATATTTCTTATGTATATTGTACCACATTGCATTTCGCTGTTATCGCCGCAGTCTTTTCCTTCAGATTTTCGTTCGGTTTTTCAAGGTTTTGCTTGCAGATTGCGGAAAAAGCTGTGCTTTTGCGCTAGTTCAATGGATGAAATCTTGACTCTGTTATTACAAAAGGATTATGTAGCAGAAAACAAACTGTCTGCAGCTCTTGCACCATTTTGCGAGCTTCTCCTTCTTCACAAGTTTTTTTTCAGTTGCCTTCTACTTGCTTCAAAACCCATGCTTACGCATTGACTAAAAAGGTAAGTGAATTACAATCCACTTTTTTTCCAGTTTCGAATGTGCTGGCAAACTGAAAGTCTACAGATATTGCTAAAACTTTTCATGGGAACGACGGTTTTTCAAAGAAAATACTGAAGGTAGCATCTCCAAAGATGTAGGATTTATTGATGTACACGGCAATGGTTGTAGATAAAAATAAAAACAATAAAATAAATTATTATTTTGAAAATTGTAAGCTGTTGCGTGATGTCCTCTTTGCACCTTTTAGTTTTAGTGTATGAAGAACACCTATCTCATATCTGTAATTCGAACGGCCTGAAACGCGGACATCCAGCCTTATTAACTGCAATAAAGCCTATGAAATACTGCGCATATGTTTACCGATGCATTTGCGTCGTGTACGTAAGCTAAACTAATGCCATATTTTATGAGGTTTTTCTGTATGCAGAAAGTCGAGAAAGCTGATTATCTATTTCAGCCAATGTAATGGTGGCTGGAAAACGTAGTTGCATCTTGCAATGCGACTATTCAGTGATGCTTCCTTTTTTTTAAAATTAACAGATGTAACATGTGCACTTAGTCTTGATCTACGTACACAGTAAAGGCTACAGAAGTACAGATACATGCGGTTTGAGTACTACTTAGTATTTTTTTTTAGTTACTGAGTTTTCATTTCAATGAAGTTAGTAAAGCAAGTTAAGACTTTTTCATAAGGGTACCCTTATAGGCACCCGGTCCTACCCTCTTATATTATAGGCACCCCTTCCGGCTTCTTGACATTACAGGCACTCTTTATTAACCCGGCAGTGCTCTGAATATCAAGGATTTTTTTGCCGAAGTTGAAATTCATACCATAGAATAACAATAATATGATGCACTTAAACTAGTTTTTTGAAAGTTTTTGTTGCAGTAGTTTAAATTTTAAGAGCAGGTAGAAATTTTACCGCAAGGGCATTAATGATAAGCTGCGGAAAAAGCTGTGCTGTGCTGTGCGCTTATACATAATACATATTTACATACGAGTAATATGTACATGTTTATCGTTTATACGTAATACATTTATCTATAATACATGTTTATAAATAATACATATTAATGAAAATATATACTATGTATAAACTGCCGATTAACGCGTTAATTGAGGTTAATGCTACGTCGGCGATGCCCGCTATCCTTCGCCGCCGGCCCACCATTCAGACCGGATGCCGTTTGGACGCTTTCACGGCTCAGCGGCGGCCGCGTGCTTTGTTGTTGCGTTTTGCACACGCTCTTTTCGAGCTATCTTGTGGCATTTTTCGCATGCTCGCCTCACGAGTGTTCATTTTACGTTAGCTCAGCTCTTGTTCAGAACGTCGCTGATTTTGTTCGATCATTTTTTCACATGCTCGCCTCACGAGTGTTCATTTTACGTTAGCTCAGCTCTTGTTCAGAACGTCGCTGATTTTGTTCTGGCTTCGGGTTCTAAATTTTTGGCCTTGCTCTCACAGAAATTCGACAGCTTTTACAAGTCTACTGAAACAGTCTCCTTCAGTACTTATCAACTTACTGTGTAATCGTTCATACGAGTACATCTGCGGACAATGTCTGGAAGAGGTCGAAGAGGCATTCGCTCACGCGGCGCCACAAGCTCCCGCGGCATCCGCGGGGGGCCACGGACACGCGCAGCAGCCGGTCTCAAAACCGGTGGGAAACGACCAGCGGACAATCCTGACGGCACTTCCGCCACAAAAAGGATAGCGTCTACGGTCGTAGTTCCCCCGGAGTCCTCCATCAATTCTGCATCGCAGATCATGACTTTGTCGTCCCAAATTGCGGCCATGCAGCAACGAATAAACCACCTGGAGTCGCAGCAGGACAGCTCCAGCCGCAACGCGTTGCATGTCGACGGGTCCAGGCCTCAGCGCTCTCTATCCCCGTCCTCTAACCGGGTCACCACGGCGCAAGGTAAGGACACCGATAGTGTGCTAGAGGTTCCTTTACCAGCTCGCCGACCGGTGGCCGAGAGGCTCGGAGACCCAGTCAACAATATTCCGTCCAAGTACAGGGACCTAACCGCTGTTCCAAAGAAAATCAGGGAGCAGCTATTGGACCGCGAGCAGTTCGTCGACCTGGCGGACCTGCTGCCACAAAACCGAGCGCCATCCAAGCGGCCAGCTCCCGGTACGCGCATGGTGCTTGACGAAAGCACCGGGGAATACACCTTCACGGCCGCGGCAAAGAAAGAGCAAATCACGACCTTTGCCGCCTGGGCGCACGCCTTTGGAGTGTTTATGCAATACAGAACACTAGACGCACCGGAATTCACGGTGCCAATGCTGAAGTACCTAGGCATGATGAGTCTCTTTGCCGATCCAAGTCGCGGTTACAAGCTGGAGAACGTCTTAGAATACGACGCTCAATTTCGGAATTACGCAACGAATAACCCCGACGACACCGAAATTTGGACCAAGAAACATGACGAATCCTTCCAGAATGCCATCGTGAGTCCTGTTGTCACCGTTGGCAGCACAGTCCCAACGAGCAGCAATAAGTACAAGTCCGCCAAATGTAATCGGTGTCATGAGATTGGCCATATAGCGGTAAACTGTCCCGATCGTGAGTTTTTTCGGACCAGCTCCGCCGCAGACGGAGAAATCTGCCGGAAGTTCAACCGCGGCATATGCTCAACGCCATGCGCTGGAAACCGCAAACATGTCTGCAGCTCCTGTGGCTCCGCCTCCCACGGCGACTACGTCCACCGGCAAGCAGGCACTTCCAGCAACGGCGGCCGCTTCAAACAGGAGAACCCCGTTTAAGGCAGATGCATTTGCGCGGCGGCTGGCTGATCATCCCGATCAGCAATTCGTTACATATCTAGTTTCATGTATTACCAACGGCGCCGACTTGAAATACAGCGGTTTATTGCGTTCTCGTTTTACCCCAAATAGTTTATCTATAACTCTCCACAAGAGCATTGCACAGAGCACCATCGATCAGGAGGTGGAACTCGGACACACGAAAGGCCCATTTGCTACGCCTCCGTTCAAGCATTTTACAATCAACGCCCTGAACATGCGCGCAAAGAAGAGCGGCGGGCATCGCATGATAATGGACCTTTCCCGTCCGGCGGCCGATTCCGTGAACTTGCACATTCCCAAAGACGATCCCCCGTTAAGATTCTGCAGCGTTGACGATGCTGTACGGATGCTGTTGGACTTCCCAGTTGGAGCTGTGATGGCTAAACTGGATGTCCAGTCTGCGTTCCGTTTAGTGCCGGTCATGGAAAGTCAGCACCATTTGCTCGGTTACAAGCTGTCCGGTAAATACTACTACGACGTAGTGCTGCCTTTTGGATGCAGATCTTCTCCTGGCATTTTCTGCAAATTTTCTGACGCGATACTGTGGATTTTCAAGCGCGAAACCGGCCATGCTGCCATCCTTGTTTACGTGGATGACTTTTTCATAATTGCTCACAACGCGAGAGAATGTGCGGATTTAATTCGTAAATTCAGGGATCTATGCGCTGACCTCGGTGTACCGCTAGCCATGAACAAGCTAGAAGGACCGGCGACCGTTATTACTTTTCTCGGGATCCGTATCGACTCTGCTACTCAGACCCTTTCCTTACCAGCTGACAAGTTGAACGACATGACGTCACTCATAACCACTTGGGAGCCGAAGACTGTATGCACGTTACACGATCTCCAAAGCCTAATTGGAACGTTGCAGTTTGCATGCCGATGCGTGCCGGCGGGAAGACTGTTCCTGCGAAGAATGATTCGGCTCATTAGTGGTTGCGATAAACGGCCGCTTACTCAGATACAGCTAAGCGCCGGATTCCACCTTGACCTTCAGTGGTGGATAAAGTTTTTGCCTCTATGGAACGGCACGAGCAAGTTCCTCCATCCAACGTGGTCCGGACCGAACGTAACTGACCTATTTACGGACGCATCAGCCGTCTGCGGCATCGGAGGTTACCGTGACGGTGAGTGGTTTCAGTCTCGTTGGCCTGCGTGGGTCATCGAAAGGAAACCCTGTATCGAATACCTGGAAATGACCGCCATCCTTTTTGCACTGCACATCTGGGCTCCGAAGCTACACCGCATGCGAGTACTGCTCCATTGTGACAACCTAGGGGCCTCCCAAGCGTGGGAGAAGCTGGGTTCACAGCATAGCGGAGTGCTAGACTTAATGCGGCGCATGTTAGCGCTATCAGCCCTGCACAATTTCACTGTGAAAATAGTGCATATTAACGGATGCGATAATGGAATCGCTGACGCATTGTCACGCTTTCAGGTAGCGCGCTTCCGGAAGTTGGCACCGCTCGCAAAAGAGCTCCCGGAAGTCACCCCGGACATCTGGACCGAATTGCGGACCGCTTTCGATCTCCCGACAGACTAGACGTGACAGTAGCACACCTCCAGTACCACCATCTTGCAATTGCAACAAGAACGACCTACAGTGCCGGCTGGTCACGGTTCCTGCAATTCTGTATCAACGACGGCGCCCTGTCTCTACCAGCGACAGAAGTAACCGTGCTACGGTTTGTGGCTCAACTTTATCTCCAAAAGATATCGCCTGCTACAATCAGAGTCTACATGGCCGGAATCGCCAATGCGCATGTTGAAGCGAATTTGCCGAATCCCACTGTGTCGTCGGCGGTGAACAGAGCCATCGACGGCTGCAAGCGCATTTGCCCCACAGTGTCGGACCGCCGCCTTCCCATTACTCTGGACATCATGCGGCACCTGAAAGATAGTATCAGATTGACCGCCGTATCCCACTATGAGCAGCGGCTTATCTGGTGCATTTTTACGACGGCGTTCTTTGCTGCGCTTCGAGTAAGCGAGTTTGTGTCACCATCGCCCAGCAAGTATGACGAGCGAAGCACGCTGCTCATCAGCGACATACTGGAGAACGATCCTCGATGACCCTAACGATCCGACAATCCAAGACGGACCAGTTTGGACACGGGTACAGGATCGCGCTGCACGCAACCGGCCGATCAGTCTGCCCTGTCACCGCGCTACGAAACTACATCGCGGCAAGGAAATCTTCCAATCCACACGCACTGCCGCTGTTTGTTCAAGAGAACGGTCAATTTGTCACCAGAACGCATGTCGACCGATGGCTTCTAACTCATCTGCGCGGGATTCCCGAAAAGCATCGGTATGGAACGCACAGTTTCCGCATCGGTGCGGCTTCAACAGCAGCCTCACACGGAGCTTCGGAAGCCACGATTCAGAGGATTGGGAGATGGAAGTCCTCCTGCTATGCAAGATACGTCCGCACAGCTGTTCCGACACACGCCCTCGACGCTTACGGACAGAGCAGTGGTTTGGGGTAGTTTGGGGTTGCCTGTGCGGCTGGAGCGATCAGAGGTGGCCAACGCACTCGCGTTCACGCACCTTGCTCGCGCTTCCGGTCAGCAGCTTCACCACTATCCCCCCACGCGCTGCCACGATTTGCATAGGAGACGTAGAGCATTAACTGCCGATTAACGCGTTAATTGAGGTTAATGCTACGTCGGCGATGCCCGCTATCCTTCGCCGCCGGCCCACCATTCAGACCGGATGCCGTTTGGACGCTTTCACGGCTCAGCGGCGGCCGCGTGCTTTGTTGTTGCGTTTTGCACACGCTCTTTTCGAGCTATCTTGTGGCATTTTTCGCATGCTCGCCTCACGAGTGTTCATTTTACGTTAGCTCAGCTCTTGTTCAGAACGTCGCTGATTTTGTTCTCCCGCCCGCCACGCACCTGTTGTTTTTCTGTCCGTTTATTTTGCTTGTATACAACCAAAATAAAGGGGTTGCCTGTGCGGCTGGAGCGATCAGAGGTGGCCAACGCACTCGCGTTCACGCACCTTGCTCGCGCTTCCGGTCAGCAGCTTCTCCACTATCCCCCCACGCGCTGCCACGATTTGCATAGGAGACGTAGAGCATTAACTCGTATTATGCAACCAAGGCTTTTGCCGGTGCAACTCGCAATCAGCACAAAATTATATGCACTGAGCGCAATATCATATCAGTTTGATCTACTTGAATCGCCCTGCCTCTGGTGGCTGTTGGGTCCAATTTAGTTTATGGGTATAACTGATCATGAATCAATTCATTGTTAAATTTACAATCAAAAACATTAATTTTGTGATTACCGGTCAGTATGTGTAAGTTATGATGGGTTGCCCCGGCTTATTTGTACACGAAACTGATTACGGCTAGTCGACGTACATTATGTACATACTCATGACTGGCTGCTGCGACCACACTGCCGTTTTTATTGTTCTTGTTCATTTCAATGTCGAAGAAAACATTGTGACATTATCAAAAAAATGTTTTTGGTACTGTTTTTGCTTTTACAGAAGCACTCACTTTTAATCAGTCAGCTGTTACTGATTTGGCTTGGTACACAGGTGTGTAACGGCGGTTACCTGGTGTGTAACGGCGAAGAGTGAGGCTTGTATTGTAAATTAACGATCGTGATGCTAATTATGGTAACAATAGTAATCGTAGATGCCACCGTCCTGAAATTATGTACTCGTACTATGTGTGCGTAGCACTGGCAGGTACCATGGCGATACATGAAGGTACTTCACCGTATCCGTAAACTGCGTTACCGCAAGTAGCGCGTACATGTGTCCGTAAATACAGTGGTAAAAATTTACCAAATAACTATGATAGCATATTATGCCATGGCAATGCAAAATTACTTGCTGACGCCTACTTACTGATTACACAATGTTTTTGCTTCTTCTAGGTTAGAATCACGGAGTGCCGGATCCGCCACGCCGGAGTGCGCTATTTTCATCAATCAACGCTGGATGACGGGAAAGGGAATCGCAGCGGAACCGTGGGAGTTATAGTTTAGGCAGCCAGCATGTATTCGTATAACATCGGTGCCACTAGGTATTGGGTTGATGTCGCGAGCGGCCAACATTTCCCGGTACAACAGCCTCATCTACCCAGCAATGGTCACATTTCGGGGACTTCAGCTGAGAACGAAATCCCGCTGCAGATGAATTATTCGTTTGCCTCCATTCCGCAAACAAAAACAGTTCACAGGGAAACACCGCAATTCCCTCTTGCTAATACTGAAGTGCATACTCAACAAGGATGGCTCAGTCGCTGGAACACCGAAGACCATACAGCAGCCACTCCGCATTCCTTTGGTCGCACGTGTTCCACGTCCAGTATTCCCAGACCCCAAAGCGTGCCAAAACAGAAACCTGGAAAAGTTAATCCTCGGGACATGTACGACATGACGTGGAAGGAGAAACAGGAAATTGTGCATTTATTCGACAATGGTCGCTCTTGTTCCCACATTATGCGGAAGACGAAGCTGTCCGCCCACCACATTAAAAATGTCCTGGACGCAGCTGGCAGAACGGTCGTCTTTAGAGATTATGATCGGGAGCGGTACAATACGTTGCGGCCGGTTGTTCTGGAGTTGTTCGCTCAGGGCTGGTCGCCTCGGGCGATAGGGAAGCACGCTCAAACTTCCAGTTTATGGGTGGATAAAATAATACGGGATGCCGGATTTACTCCCGAGACGCCACCCGCGCGAATGTACCGTCGCACAGAAAGAACGAATCCATGGATCGGGGGCCAGCCTGATTCTGCCACCCGAGGTGTGTGCTCGTTTGACTCCGCCAGCGGATCGCGTGTTAGCTGCAGTAGTCTGATGGAAACCAGTCAGTGGCAATACAAACGTACGAGCGACACCAAAGTGTATACCGGGTACTGCCAGGAAGAGACCAGCATCGCCAAAGACGACGCCTTGGATAGAAAGGGTAAGTATGCCCTTATAAAGTCAATAAGCTACTAACAAATGAAGGAAATCATTATAGCCACCCCTATACCCTATTCACCCTGGTTTTATATAGCCACCCTTTTGCGTTATTTTTTGGGGGCATTTAATTTTTGGGTGTCATTATAACCACCCCTTACACCCTGTTTTTACAGCCATCACTTCTTCCGCAACCTACTTACATGTATTATAGGCACCCTTTTCCGATCAAACGGATGTGTTTTTAGACACCGTGATTTCTATAGGCATTCATTTTGATTAAAAACATTCTTCTCATCGTATTACATACATTACTGCGTTAAATTTTTAGGAGAATTGCTCAAGCACGTGCTTAACCATATTCGAGTTTTTGATCCGAATGTATTTGTTGATATAATGACTGCCGCCGCTGGAAAAATCACAACTATCTTTTTAATTACGACAGAAATGCAACAAACCTTCATCGAGAGCACTTGATTAACTATTCTGGGGGGCACTGAGCACGGATAAAATAAACGCCGGAAATTATTGCCATTCTGCAGCTATTGTATAAAACGATCAACCAGTTGGACGAAAAGTCTTCAGGAAGAGCAGAAAATATGGATGCATTACATCGTTTATAAAGCGTGTTGCACAAACTGGGGGAGGTTCTTAGCGTGGGCGGTACTCTCTTTGCAAAACCCGCGATGCTCATGGTCAGCGCACGTGGCTTGCGGAAGTTTCAAATATGGAGAGATGACCTAATTAAGCAAACTGAAACTTTAGCCGGCTGAAAGCACGAGTAGAATTTTATCCAATGATTTCTAACCAAGAGTGACATTTTTAGCATTAGAACAATGATAAAACAGCAATTTATAAAAATTAAAAGGATGCCCGTAAAAACCAACAACAGCGTTTATTTAATTATCAGTAAATATATTGTTAAATTACGTACAGGGTGTGATCCGTATAAGTACTAACAAAGCCGTCCATTGGCCTCTTTAAACACATACGAGTACATATGAACGTAAAAATGTATGTTTCATTCATGTGCCCAAGTTCAACGTTCATACAGCAAAGTCTTTTAAATTTAGCGTTCGGATGTCACGAGGAAACGAGTATTTCGGAAGTCAACTTCAAAACACCCGTTCCGATGGAACAATATTCCTCCGGTCACATAAACCCACAGAGCACAATTATCGAATATTCCAGTTTGTCGGCGGATAATTACGTGGAAATTCCATCCGAAATGCCGTTGCTTCCGGCAGAAAATGCGAATTTGGACGATTTTACTGCCAGATATCTGTGCCGGGTTTGCCGTTTATCTTGGCACGAAGAGGAAGCATTTCTCTTACATCTGGCAAACAAAGAGCATGAACAGATTTGTACGACCGGAATTTTCTTATACTGTACTGGATGTAAATTCAGAACCCGAAAACCGGCGACCATGGGCAGACACATTGTCAAGTACCAATCGCAAACCACGCCTCCAAACTGTAGCATGCATGCTATTAAATTAGAGACTGACACTTGCTAGTATTGTTGTCGTTTCCATTTCTGTTTTTTAATTGAGAGCAATATTTGTATTGCTGGCACATTTTACGCTGTGGAAATCAAATTGGGGCAATATTTTTTACTTCGTTTTGTTATTTGGAGTGACATTGATCTTTAACAGTAAAGGACAGCTGCCACCGTTGGCTTCCTTCACTTTATAGTATGTACATCTTGTCTCATACCTGTAATTAAACAAAATCGCTTCCTCTCACTAACTAATGATCACATTTACAATACGGATAAGGATTCACCCCTTTCCGTTTCACCATTTAGTACATACAGAGTACATCATGAGCTGCTACTGCCATGGTCTAGATACTGATAGACCATTTTAGTCGAAAAGATTTGCAGATGCCTTTATATGTCGAAGTGCGCCACGTGCAGATGTCAAAATAAAAAGGAAGAAACCATCGCAGTTGACATTAGCTGTTATTTTCAAATTAGAAACCGAATAGCACAATAGTCAAAGGTTCAAACTGAGAGCTGGGGCGGAAACAGATTCTCCACTTATTCAAGCAGGGTTATTTGTACGCCGTGTGGTTAGCCGCTATTCAGAAAGCGCAGGCTGACAAAAAGCATCGACGTCGTCCTGAGGGAAGTCGGACATAGTTTCAGCAGACGTGGTGATCCGGTGGCCCAGAGAAGAGGACGGTTACTATGACGCTCTCCGCATGCCGCACGGGATCAGCCATCCCGAACAAGGTCAATGTGTCCTGGTACACTCTGACGAAGCCGTTAATCGAGAGGTGGAAATCTTTTGCAGAACGCGATCGTGCTCTCCGCACCGAGGAGAGGTCACCGGCAAGGTCATGGCGCCGGTTGTTTATTTGTGGGAGCTAGAAGTATGACCCGCCGAGATGGCCAAGCGCGGCTTGACATGAATCGGAAAAGCGTGGTCCGCGGGATAGAGCGATTCCGCGGTTCGCCGCATTTATTCCGGGTATGATTCACAGCGGTGCGTCCCACGAAAGCACAACAATCTGTTGCAGATTCTAGCCTCAACAGTCATACAGCCGAATAGCCGGTGACCGTAAATCCAGATCGCACCGGAAGTGGAACCAAGCACACTGCGGAATAAACTCGGGGGATTACCAAAACCGAAACCGTATGGATACCCATACCGAAAAAGGAATAATCGATAATTCGCTTAACTGATTCGTACATCGAATCTATTGTTTTCTTCGTATGCACTCTACTCTGTACAGGCAATGCGAAACATTTAGTTTTAAAGCATTTTGAGATAGTATAATAACCGAAATGGGAATACTTTCATTTACAGTACTAGTAATACTTTGACATCGTGTAACGTTTACCGGTTTTAAAAGCTGCAACATTTTAATATACACAAAACACGCCAATTAATTGTTTTACTGTAGAGTAGATCAATTAAGGGATTTGGCCCGGTACATAGCACCAAATTCGTGTACATACACGGGAACTTTTGCTGTCTCGCACTCCCAAACACTTTTTTGGGTTGCTTTTTGACATTGTGCATGTAACCAAATGATTTGTATACATAGGCGTGAAATCCGTTTTTGCGCGCAACATCCGGTTCGGGAGTTATGGCTGTTAGAAAATTCCAACAAGTTTAAATGCATTCAGGTGTACCAAAAGTCTCATTATGGCCCGATCCCTTTCAAATTTTGCACGTAAATGCACATACCCATGAAGATCGTTCTTACACGGATCCAGACTTCCACGATTTTTTTCGAATTTTAAAATTTTTGAAATTCACTTTAAAATTTGAAAAGCATGCTAGAACATCGGATCGGTGTAAGAACGATCTTCATGGTCATGCGCATTTACCTGCAAAATTTGAAAGGGATCGGTCCATAATGAGACTTTTGGTACACCTGAATGCATTTAAACTTTTTGGAATTTTCTAACAGCCATAACTCCCGAACCGGATGTTGCGCGCAAAAACGGATTTCACGCCTATGTATACAAATCATTTGGCTACACAATGTCAAAAAGCAACCCAAAAAAGCGTTTGGAAGTGCGCGAAAGCGAATATTCCCGTGTATGTACACGAATTTGGTGCTATGTACCGGCCAAATCCCTTAATAAGATAGCGTTGGAGATAAAGAATACGAAAACTAAATCAGTAATCAAATATATATATGTAAATTAGGTAATTATAATGTAAATAGTCAATTTTGTCTTACAATAATATTTGTTTACCGGTGTTTTTGTGTTAGGGACAATGGAGACTGACGGACGATCCCTTTCCAGAGATCACATGTACACCCACGAATTTTAGGATTTAAAGCCCGTAATCTTGAATCAATGATGTATGATTAATCTTGAATCAATGATGTATGATATACAGAGTATCTATATATGTACAGATACTGAAGGTGTCTTCTTACCATATTGGGCAAGCGTTGACTATAATTGATATTTGAAGTTTATACACGGAAAACGCACCCTAAAAAACCTTTATCTTTTTTCACGTGAAAATATCACATACTCAAAACAGTCGTAGCATTTAAGAGCTAGACTAAAACGTTACTGAAAAAAGCAGTACAACTCGCTTCTCCATGGTTAAATGCCGAATTGTGCAGCCCCTAAAAATTCTGAACAGTGTTGCACTTTGCTTGAAATGTAGGCAAAAACTTGCGACGTCACTGAAAATACAAAATGTGTCAACTTTCCGACAACGAATGCTTCTAGCGTTTGACCTTTCTGCCAGGTGGCTCATACTTCCAGGTTCCTCTTCCTTTCAGCTTCCGATGACGTGAGTGTCTGCAACCGTACACTAATCTGTTTATTAATCTTAAACTATCGATTTTTCTTGGCGAATAGGTACCAGCGTCATCCCGTTAGACCTTTTCCCGTGGCTCCGTGTTTAGCCGACCAAACTGGATGCAACAAAAATTAGCGCTTTGCACAGCAACCTTTGCGATGCTGTTTGTTTCTTTAAGCTGCACCAACCATCTCTTTCCGCTGATTTATTGCAGTATAACCCCATCCGTGATGACCTGATTGATTTCGCTGTACTCGCTTACCGTATGTTATGCTGTACCATGTTATATGATTGAATGAACAGCATCGATGTCATACTATTGGGTGCTGTTGTACAGAACTCGGCATACTCAAAGATATCGCGATCGACCGAATGAAAGGTAAAGTAAAACAATAACTGTTATTCGTTTCATGCAGTTATCATAAAATGCGGAAATGCTGAATGCTGGTTTTTGCTGTTTCCGTTTAAACGTATAATAACAGTAGCTAATCTTATTTGCTTGGTTATCTTATAAAAAAATTATGTAGGTATTTAGCAAAGTTAAAAAAACAGCTATGATGACGAAGCGGCGTTATTTGGAGGTCTATGTACCTAAGTTGTCCTCTTTGAACTGTTGTGTATTAACGCGCCAACGTAATACAGTACGCCTGAAATTTGGACCTTCTGGACATAGCACCAGATTTGTGTACTGTACATCCACAGCAACTTTCACTCCCAGGTTTGAAATTCATTTTAAAATTTGAAAAAAAATGATGCAACTTTGGTTCGGTGTAAACACGATCTTTATACTAATGTGCATTTACGGGCGAAATTTGAAGACGATCATTGATCGGTTTATAATGAGACTTTTGGTAGATGTACACATGAATGCATTTAAACTTTTGAAATTTTGGTCCACTCATAACTTTCCAACCAGATGTTGCACGTGCAAACGAGTTCCACGTCTAGGTATACAAATCTTTTGGCTACAAGATATCATAGAGCCATGCAAAAAAGCGTTTGGGGGGGGGGGCGGGGCGTGACAGCGAAAGTTCCAGTGGATGTACATGAATTTGGTCCTATGTACCGAACCAAATCCCTTAAATACTACGCATATGCGCATGTGGGTAGGCATGCATTGGCTCTAAATTGCATTCCACTGACCAGGGACCAATTCGCCTCTCAGAAAAATTTGGTTTTTTGCGTAAAGGGAGAGTAATATTAGCATAACCTTTAGAAAGTGCTTTATTCGGCAATGGTTTGGTGGGCGTACCCAAACACAAATCTTTTCGTTAAAAGAGTCGTATGTGTTGTATTATTCGGTTTTATCATGCTATTGCTTTTACTGCTCGCTGTTTGTTCTCACCACTGTAACCTTGCTCCCTTACTTGATTTTATGTTAAAGTAAGTGGTTTGACAAAATAGAAGTTTTAGAAAATTTGTTGCTCATCGATCCCTAGAGTAGTTGCAGCGGAAGTACGGTTCACTACAAAACATTTTAGCAGAAATAAATTAAGGCTCTGCAATCATACCGGTAAGAAGCGAGACTATATTCTAAAAATTTTGTTTTGCCAAGAACAAATGTGGAAAGATGAAATTAAGTAAAAGACAATAACTACAATGATATCGGGTCGGGTAGCCAGACACTCGGTACTTGTACAAACAGCATAAATAAATTAGAAAATTAATGTGTAGCATTTCCTTCTTATATCAGTGGAAATTACGCGATGGTTGTAGCTCGCGCAGCACGAGTCCACGACCCTTGCGTTAATTACTAATTACTATTATAGCCATAATATTTCTATTTTGTAGGTCTGACTTACAACGATCCTGAGTGGCGCCTTCTGTCTAACGAAAAATAAAATCACAACGAATTATTTTGAGTCCTCTGCTATCATAGCCAACGGGCACGACATGTATAATTGTAATATACAGTGTGCTGAGTGGGGCGGATATTTCCCGGCACGGCAACATCTCATTATCAGCAATACCGAAATTCCCGCGACGCCAATTCTGAATAGCATCCCGCGGCACGCAAAATATCTATTTACGGTTCCGTACACCGACGCAGTCGCATACAGTTTAGTGCAATTCCCATTTCCTGAGGCTCAACCAAATCTGCAACCAGGAGGGATCACTGGTCTGAACACCCAGGACCGCTCCGAAACCATTCCCCAAGTTTTGCACAACCCTTGCTCAACATGCAGCACCCCCCAAAGTCAATCGCTGCAACGGGGAAGAATGGCAAAGATTAGTGAGGCACCGTATAGGTACGACCCCACCCGGGACGAAAAAGAATTAATTCTTGAATTATTCGACAACGGCCGCACTTGCTCCGACATAATGCGGCAGACCAAGCTGTCCTTTTACCACATTAAAAAGGTACTGACCGCAGCTGGGAGAACGGCAATCTTTCTGGAAAGGAATCGAGAGGTTTACGATAGGTTGCGACCAATTGTGTTGGGGTTGTTCGAGCAAGGATGGTCTACTTGTACGATTGCAGAGCACGCTAAAACTTCCAAGACGTGGGTGGAACAGATAATAAGGCAGGCTGGTCTAACACCAAGAAGCCGGTCGATTATTCCTAGCAGTGGTCCTGCAGCGACAACAAGCTTTACAATTAGCTCTTTACCGAAATGCACAAGCCAGAATAACAATGACAGCGTGACGACTATGAAAGAGGAAGCTGAGGGACTATTTTTGCGGCGCCCCGAAGCAAAGGACGTAAGGAACATTGGTCAGCGTGATCCAGCCAGCCAAGACATGCGCCCGTCGAAATTCGCAAGCGAATCGGGTGGAAATAGCAGTGTTTTGCTGGAGAGCCAGCGGGGCGAATGTGTCTGTAGTGGCGTCACTACTGAGGATGTGGGCTTCAACCACATAAAAACCGCCTTCGCCAAAGACGCCATCAAAGACCGGATTGGTATGTACGATGAGATGGATTACTATGAAATTACAACTACAAGAAACGTGATTTAGATCAACACAATCTTTAAAGAAAAGACTGCAAATTATTAAGTAAATCTGTAAGTAAGTAAAATTATTAAGTAAACAAAGTCGTACACCGTGAAAAAGCTGAAGACTGCATCAAAATGAAAGTAATCACATTTTGTACTTTACGTATAGAATACGTACGATAAAGTCATCCCGTGCGCGCTGGTGTTGTAATAATACAGAACGCCGCTTTAGCATTTTCAGGGATTAAAGATAGAATCTGATCATATTTTATGCACCTAGCTAATACAGTAATTTCATAAGTGCCCAATGCTGTTATGGTAATGGACCAAAGGTACAAATTTAAACTACTGACCAGCGAGTACACAAAACGAGTTGCAGGATGGTAATATAATTTCATACTTATACGGTACATATATTTTTCTGGCTCAGCCATACCAGAAAGCTGTTTATAAATTTTAGAGCTCGGAAATCACAAGGAAATGTTCATTCCGGGAGTCGGCTTCACAGCACCCGTTGCCCCTGAGCAGCCTGCCTCCGACCACAGAAAACAACGGGAGAAAACAATGGAACATTCCAATATGTTGGCGGACAAATGCGCGAGAGTTCCTTCCGGAATATTTTCGATTCCTCCCGAAAATTTCAACTGTCGTAACGCAAGATTTGAGTGCCAGATTTGCCGCATATCTTACGACGAGGAGCAAGCGTTCCTATTTCATTTGGCAAACAAAGAACATGAAAAAATTATTTCTACCGGGACTTTCTTATATTGTACCGGATGCAAATACAAAACCCGAAAGCCGGTGAAAATGGGCTCGCACATTATTAAGTACCAGTCAAAAAGTACACCACAAAATCATAAAATGCATTGTATAAAAACTGTCCACTGAGTTATTTTACAGATAGATGTCCACATTCGCGGCACATTTTGCGCTGCCGCAGTTTTCCGTGATTTTGTTTAAGCGTCTAAGATCCAGATGTACATAGTTGCTGCAGTGAATAATGTGCGCGTATTGCGCGATAATGTGATGTGGTATTTTTTATTGTTAATGTGTTGCGCTGTGTGTGCTGTAATGTGCCGTTTTGTATTGTACGTTTATTTGTACTTTATCCTTTACTATGTAAAAGAATATTCAACTCGCATCGCATGACGTATCTCGTGCTGTGCGAAATTACTATACAAAACGTCGCCCTCAGTTCCTGAAGGCGAGCATATCAATGCTCGCTTAATACTTCAACACTTCTCACCAAACAATCTTTTACAATTGTCGCATTTCGAACACTTTTACAAAACAGATTTGGATGCCGAAGACCACAGACAAGACACCTGGAATTTTTATTTTACGCGCGGGCTACCCTTAGAAAACTTGATAACTTTCCATTAACATGTACAACTTGTACAACGGCGTATACCATCTACTAATAAAGTTCGCTAAGTTGTACGTTACTTGAGGAACTGCTGCCTGCACAACGTTAAACTCCGCAGATGATAAACCTGATTGACTGACTTCTTCGCTAGAGAAAACGGATGTAATCTGAAGAATATGTTGCCAAGAAATTATGAGCGCGGTTTATATGCGTCAAGAAATAACGTGCGGATTAGGACTATGCAGGATGAGCGGTTAACAGACGAAGTTTTCTATATATCCCTGTTTCGGATTGATACTGCAAAGTAGAGTGCAGACTCAGTATGTGGAATGCAATTTTTGTAAGGGTAATGGTAGGTCAGTGGTGTTTGGTGCTTTTCGTGATTAGATTGATTGCTTTATTGATTCCAACTTATTGCTTTATTTCACAATTTTTCCTGACTCAACCAGACACTAGGTTGCTCATCGCCACCGCGGCCCACGCATTAAGAGGATGATAGTACAGTATACGATTATACGTACAATGTACACGCTCCCGCATCCCGTTTTCTCCCAACCGATTTACTTACTGTAATGCATCTGGCTTTTTTGGTGCTCCAAACTGTCCATAGTGTATTTAAACTGGGTCTGGTTCTGATCATGGATTCTTCTGCATTTGTCTATAAGCAGTCATTTGTTTAGTGTATATTTTGAACAACGCATGTATTCAGATTTAGGCGACAATACGATGTAAAAATTATGGCCAGGTCCGCCACGGTACATAAGCACCATGAATACCGTAAAGTTGCACTTCAGCCGTCTAACGGCAGCAGGTACACAACTGCTTACCTACCCTAGGGTAGACTGTATCAGGTCTTTACATATATTAAAACTAATCAGTTGTGCTGCATAATGACCATTATTAGAAGGTTTGTTAAAAAAGAGAAATGCTGTTTTTATCTTTTTGGAAGCAAAAAGTTCGGGCGTGGTTTCCACTTTCCAGTGATAAAAGCTATGAGTAACAAAAGCTAGCGTCGAGTTCTGGCGAAGCCAACAAGCGATGGTACTGCGTAAATCGTTGAAAACACAAATAAAACAATTTGTATTGCTGGCTTTCTTTGATAACGAGCAAAAGGGTTAAACGGCACTGGTATCTACAGCAGCTTCATATTTTGAACATAAATAATGAATGCACGCTTTTGCATAATACGTAATAACCAAATAATAAGCGAAAATATCACTTTTAATGCGAGAATTATTACGAACTTCTTTGAAAGTAGTTGAATTATTACGGTTCCACTTTTGAGCGTCAGCTTCTTTAATTTTGCTAGAAATACAGTAGTATTACTCACTGCGAATCTGATCAAAGATCTGATGGTCCGAACCTAGTACAACACCTAACCTTAACAGGGCGAGGACATGAGTCACTGTGTATGTATGTCCTTAAGTGATCATTGCTGCTGTAAAGAAAGCAACAAGCTGAATTTTTTATTCAGTTGTTATTGAATCTTAAGGACTGATTCGTTTATTCCGTCCATAAGACTGAGTAAGCAATTCACTCTGTACTATTGCACAGCGGAAATTGTTACTGTGTTCAGTGAGGTATTATAGCCAATGTCGGTTTAATAGTTTATAAATTTTGATTGATATTTTTCATCACCGTATTCCATATAAACCTGCTGTACATGATAGCATGGGCATTTAAATCAAAATGCAGTCGTAGTGCATATGAAAAGAAGCGTTTCCATAACATGGCTCTGAGTTGCAGGCTATCAGAACGTACCAGAGAATGAAACAGAAATCGCACAGGCTGGGACATACACAACCCTATTCCCGAAGACAACCAAGAAATCCTGGAATTATTCGACCAAGGTCACACTTGCTGCAGCATTATGTCGAAAACCAGTGTGTCTAGTTACTGCATTAGGCAGCAGTTGTGCGCAGCGGGAAGGACTGCTCCCGAACGAAATCAAAAAAAGTACGGCGCACTGCGACCGGTTGTTCTGGGGCTGTTTAAGCAAGGCTGGTCCAATCATGCGATAAAGAAGCACGTTAAAGCTAGAACGTCCTGGGTGGAAGAGATAATCAGGGATGCTGGCTTAACTCATCAAACACGCACGACGAAAAGTTCCCCTTTCAAATGTACAGATCATGGTAAGCATGCAATCGTGACGATTAAGAAGCGGCATGGCGTATGGCGGATATCTCGTCGCGAAAAACGAAAAGCTCCTTGGGCCGGACTGGACTGGACAATTGCCGAAGATGCGCATACGTCCGCCACCGGAAATGAATCACGTTCTATCATGAGCATTGCAATGGATAATCTGTATTGGGAAGAAATACGCACCGCCAAAGAAGATGCGAAGCTTAGAAAGGCAAAACACGGTATCGCTGGAGGCGGAAGCGGTATGTCGGATAACATTTCCAATTTTATTCTCGTAAACTATTTAATAATCGAATTAAAGTCTAACTATTAAAACCACGGATAAAACAACAAACTACAGCATTAAATTATCAGTGATATCAGAATTTTGATGTCATCCATGTATCGGTCGAACATCTGTCAGCAAAGTGTTTATTGTTTTTTAAATACCGTAGCGTTTATTTTTATAATTAGCCGTGGATGGGCACAAGCAAACGAGTGGCAGCGCCAGAGAACTTGTACCTGAACAACTTTCCGCTGGCCAAGTAAAACAGGAGGACAAAGTCAGCGAACCATCCTTTATGTCGCCGGGCAGATTCGCGGAAACTCCACCTGTAACAGTGCCGTTTCCCGAAGAAAATTCGACCATGAGCGGCCGATACCAGTGCCAGGTTTGCCGTTTATCCTGGGACAATGACGAAGCATTCCTGTTACATTTGGCCGACAAAGTGCATGAACTTCGTACAGCCGGGAACTTTCTATATTGTACTGGTTGTAAATTTAGAAGCCGAAAGCCGGTGAAGGCTGGCAGACACGTTATTAAGTACCAATCGCGATCTGCGTGGCAGAACTATAGCTTACACTCTGTTAAAGCTTTAACTTAATCCATTAAAGCATTAACTAAGTACTACATTTAATTAACTACATTTAATGCTAATTTTCAGTCTTGACAAATACGGTGTCCTTAATTTTTGCGCTTGTTTTTGTATTTTTGTTGTTTTGTGTTAATAGATTTGTGAGCACCGCGGTGCGGCAGCGTACGAGCGATGCCATAACTATCTGGAAAACAGATCTACACAACTGATGAAATGATTGCCTTTATTTGTGTCGCCCTTGAGATAGGTTCTAAAGCGGCTGAATGATAAAAATTATTCACTTGTAATAGCTGGAAATGATCGAAAAATATACCACTTGTTTTGGCTAACCGGGGCAGGCGGACTGTGGCAATCTGGAATACAGATACATCTATTGAGTATTAAAATGCTTGATATTTTTGTCGCATACAAGAAGCAGTGTCGATGGATCACTTACACCGCTTCTACATACAATTTGTACAAATATCTCCCTCATAATAATTCAAGAAAATAATTCGCTTATATCCATCGCTTATATCCATGTATGACTTTTACGGCGGAGAGCTACATCTAAGGACTTACTAATGCCGCTTGTCGCGGAAAACATCGCTTTGTATTACCAGCGCTCAGTTTTGAAAGGGCAAAGAATGTTGGTAGACCGTGAGGTTTTCCATAATGTACGCTAGTACCGTAAACTTTGTAATGTACCTGGAAGAGGTACGACTACGCTGCAGCAGCTTCTCCACGGTTTTAGGGGGAGCCGCGGAGAATCGCAAGCTGGCAGAGTATGCGGCGTTGAAAACCAGATGCTTGCCCAGCTTGTGGTGAACACGCCCTTTCCAAAGCCTTAACTGCTTTTTATTTACTTTTTATGGCTTGTGCTCGCAGTTTATGGGCACGCGTTGTAACCTGGATGCTTATCGCAAATCAGGTGCGTTCGTTATAATACGAGTTTAACTGAAATCACTAAGAATTTGTATAAAATTTTTTTGCTTATTCTAAAGTTTGTCAGTTGCACGCTTTTTGGCTGTGTACGACCTTGCAACGTAGAGGCAACTATGGGTTGTGGTAGAATGACATCCATCTGCTCGTGTTCGGTGTAGATAATCATTCCGTTTTTGGTTTTCTGTGTGCTAATGTATTGTACTTCCGGCTCCAATTTTCATATTAATTGCTGTTTTATTTGATCTTTCATCACGATGTCCATTAATGTTGTTTGATTTTTCTCACGTTCGCGTGGGTAAATTGTCAGTGTGTCCGGTACATGGTATACTCTGTACATATAATATGTTGGTTTACTGGTGGTTCGGTTGGTATAATTCAAAACAACAGAGTTGCGAGACCCGGAAGAGATTGCAGAAAAGTGTCGGGCATTATCTTTATGGTGGTTTACTTTGTGAGGAGCTGGTAGTAGACGAATGAAGAGACTTCGGTTCCGAGATTGTGGCGTGCGAGACCTGCTCTCTTTGCTGGGATAACTTGGTTTGATTTGGAACCAAGCGAGCCAGGCGTGTCCTAAAGTATTGGGGTAACCCCATATATTGAACCCAGTTCTTGTCCTAACAGCTGCAGGCATTCTATCTTACACAGTGGAGTGGTAATTACATTCTTGGGAGTAATTAATGCGACAAATTGGTTCTTAAATAGTAAAATTCTGTTTTTTTTGTGTTTATTAACCTACAAAGGCATAAAACAATTTCCCATAATGGACCCGTAGAACCCATCTGCAAATAACGCAACACGACTTACAATGCGCAGCGCATTCCGACACACTCTCTCACTGAATTCTTTGCCGAACACTGATTCTTGAACCTTCCCGATTTTTAAAAAAAATTTCTGGAGCGCAGAGTATATACCGGTACGTACCGTACAGCTTTTGCTTGAGTATATGTTCTTTTCTACAGACTCAGCCCACATTTGGTCTACATATCAGTCATGTCATCGACTCAATCTAGCAAAACAATCTAGCGTCAGACAGCACTGACCACTACATCACATTAAAGTCACATCCACAACACACATCACATCTGTACATCACTAAAGACATCCACAAGTGACATCATTTACGTCTGACTACAACCGGTTTAAAGTGGCGTGCAAATCGACGCGATTCCGGTTACAATAACCGGCAGGTTACCGAACCGTGACGAGCTGCACTGAATGCTCTGTAAAACAATCTATCTCCCTCACACTGGGTTTCCGCCCAGCTGGAACTCGATCAACGCGACCATCCCATACGTCGTGCCGGATCCTCGATTGGTTCGAACAGAGCTTTCTATTTTAAACTTTTAATGAGATTGAAAAATGAGTTTAATAACGGGTGAATTTCTCCAGATTTCTCTTTTTAAGTTGATCATAGGAAGATTTTACATGAGAGAAAACACTAACAACGTTGATCACGTTTCCTGTTGGTGCCAACGTGTTTAGTAAAACACTACAGAACAGAGAAAGTACTGCATGCGCATTTCATACAGCTACGTGGAGAAATAGGACAGCGACCGATTATTCATGACTGCAGAAACTGAAGTACAGAGTACGGCATACATGCTCGAGTGTAGACCGCAGTCTCCGCTTGGACATTGTGAGTAATGATAATTAATACAGCTCGCATCGATTTTCAATCGTGTCGTTCATGTATATTGTATTGGTCGTTTTTGGGCCCTGATGCCTTCAACCTTACGCCGACTGAAGACATTATCATTCATTTTTTGTTTAAGAATGATGCTGAAAAATTATAAAACTGGACGATATTGTGTGAAATAATGTTTGGATTATTATTATCCCATACAAGCGGTTTACTGACGAAAGTCTTTCATGTATCCCTGCGTCGGATTAATATACTGTACATGTATTGATGTCTATATGTATATGTGGAGTGTATCTTTTTCAACGGTTATAGTAAGTAAGTGATAATGGTTCCTTGTGATTAGCTGTTTGTAATCATGCTACCTGCGGTGCGCAGTAGAAATGCACTCTTTCGCAACCCATTTATTATATTATATTTAATCCAAGTCGATTCATGACTGTAATGTAACCGCCAGTTTTTGGTAACACATTGTGTCGGACCCTTATAAATGTAGCAAATGTAATCGGTTGCGTTACCTACTGCTGCTAGGACTGCTATAAATTTTGTCAAAAAATGAAGATGCCGTTTTCACTTTTTGACAACAAAAATGTCAAACCAAACGCAACGCGGATAAAAAAGACTCTACCTGATAATTGAGAAACCCATAATAAACGCTAGCGTTCAAGCAAAACCAACGGACGATGCTGCTCATAAATCGGTGGAAATACAACGAGTTTAAAAATACAGAGTACTTACCGTATGTACGTCTAATAAGCTTTTTCAAACGAGCAACAGGGTTAAATGCAGTACATGTACCCGGTGGCCCAACAAAATGGCGGTCTAGTTAACCATTGTGCACTGGCCCTGCCCAACGTCCGATTGCCACATTAGTTTTTTTCGAAAGAGCAATGTTTAAGACATAGAATTGCTTAATGTACTTAACATAAACAAAAATTTAACCTTTTCGTAATTTATTTTAATAAAATAGGTGAATTTTGCCGGTGTCCCAGAACCGAAATTTTGGATTTCCCCATTAGCGCATTAAAGTTGCTGTTATTTAGCTTAGTAGGTTAAAGTTTGTCACTTTAGTATTTCAAAAAGAGGGATTGTTTCTTGTTTTTTTTTTAACGTAAAAAGATACGGTATGTTGGTAACCGCATTCGGTCCAGAAACTGGGAAGCTGGAGCGCCGCACATTTAACTTTCGTGAAATCCTACATCAGCATTTTCAAAAATAGATTTCTCATCAACCTGCAAGAGCGAATCTCAATCAAACTTGCTTCTATAAGAGCAATACCTTAACTATACATAACAGCTAAATTGACCCGTTTTGTTGCAGCCTGTCATGCATAAAAAACTACAATAAAATGGATCAAAAATTAATCAAAAAATCGGCATTCTTTCAAAAAGTGAGTTGAGTGCATTGCATGATTGCTCCCCCATTGCGTGCACTATGGAAACCGCTTTTATTATGCTGATAAAAAACGACCTTCTCTAGATGAAACAATTGAAAAAAATGAAATGTTTAGCATGCATAACAAATGACACCAAATTTTAGAGTTCAATAGCTGGATCAGGATATGCTTCCGCACGATTTCAGTTGGCTTGGTTTTTCGCGATCGTGTCACAACTTTTCAAAATAAGTTCTTTCACGTTCAGTAGCTAATAAAATTTGTAATTTATTAAATCCAAAAACTTTCTCGTACGACAAGTGGTTCGTTCGCGCACAGCAAAACAAAAACTGAGACCGCCATTTTTTTGGGCCACCCGGGATCTAGCTTAATACAGCTACTCGTAGCTTAATATTTCAGGCATGGTTAACAGGCGAATTTTTGCACAATGCATGTAGTTAACAATGAACTCCAACTTCGCTTTATTATTGCAAGAATTTTTAGAAATTTTTTATAATGTTATCAAATTATTAAAGATCCATTTCTGAGTTTTATATTAATATTACTAATTGTGAATGTAACGTAATATCGGATCGCGTTCACATTGCACCGGTACGCTTATCCCAAAAAGGTGAAGTCGTGAGTCACTGTGTGTATTTGCTGTGTCAAGTCTGGTATTTAAGGGAATTAACCGGGTACAAGTACATGGCGCCATATCCTTGTACATGCACGAGAACTTTCACTTTATAATCTAACCTATACCGCCGGCTGGTGTGGATTAGATAACTGCGTTGTGAAAGCCTTGAAGATACATTAACGTGAACACTGCGCTCTGGGATTGTATCTGCCTCGTTTCAGCGGCGCTAAATTATTTTAAGAATACACAGTACAGTAACATACTTACGCCGCTTTCTGTACAGCTAATTTGCTTTAAACATACATACCGTTAATAAATCGCATCTCCTCCGCTTAGGACTGCATCACGAAGTTTTTGCGCAAAATAAAGGAAGGAAAGAATGCTGAGCAGCAGCGGAGATAAGTACTGCTAGCACTTTGGAACTACTCGCGATTGTATATTATAGACAACAGTTGCCGCATGCCCAGCCATGGGTAGTTGGGCACAGCATCGCATGTTTATATGACATTGTGTACCTTATAAGAATGTTCCCAGATATCAGACATAGTGATACGCACCGGCTGAGTAACTCACGAAACACTGATGTGGCATAGGCTTTTCCATATCGGTTCACAAAAGCCTGCATCCCGGTCAATATCCATTGTGTTGATCGGCGAATAAAACGGTCCCGCTGGTGAATTTTCATTTTCTCTTCCGGGTGAACCGACGCAACTGGCAGCGATCGATTGAAGGAATAATATTACACCCATTCAGTTGCCGAGAATCTCCCCGCAACAATGCGGCGCTCATTTGGTCAATGACAATCGACGATTAGGATTCAAAAATTTCAGGGCGAGCCAGCGGAAGAAATGGTGAGCGTCAAAGAACGGGAAATATGGGAGCTGGCGGCGAAAGAAAAGCAAGAAATCGTGGATTTATTCGATAAAGGTTATCCTGGCTCTTACATTATGCGCAAGGCCAACTTGTCCCGCTACAGCATTAAGCAAGTGTTGTGCGCAGCTGGGAGAACGGGAATGTTCAGGGAGCGGGACAACAGTGTAGACTACTGCACCCACCCACAGGTGAATGCAAAGTGCCGTTCGGATGCCAATCAGCACTTGCTTAATCCTTTATCTAGCATTGAAACATCCCAAGGCGCACCAGGGAAAGAATCAGAAACTGTCAAGACACGGGACATGTACAACATTACTCCCGACGTTATTCAAGAAATCCTTGATCTATTCGACCAAGGTCACTCTTGCTCTCACATTATACGGAGAACCAATGTGTCCCGCTACTACATTAAGCAGTTATTGTGCGCAGCGGGGAGAAACTTTCGCGAACGGAATCAAATGAGGTACGACGCATTGCGCCCGGTTGTTCTGGATCTGTTTAAGCAAGGCTGGTCCCACCACGCGATAAAGAAACACGTTAAAGCCAAAATGTTCTGGGTGGGAAAAATAATCAAGGACGCGGGTCTAATGCTAAAAACGCGCTCTCCCCGGGAAAAACCTCCCCGTGTGCAACCGTCTCCGTTAAAATCCGCAGGCGTTGATAAAAATGTGATCGTCATGATTAAGAAGCAGGATGGTGTATGGCGCGTGTCACGTGGTCAAAAACGAAAAGAACCATGGATCGGAAGCCAGCTTGATTGGACGGCGGCCGAAGATGTCCGTAATGATACCTCCAGCTCTGGAAGTGAAGCGCGTTCTATTATGAGTATTGCATTGGATGATCTGCAGGGGAAGACGTATTCGACCCCACCAAAGATGTACGGCTTAGCCAGGAAGACAACAGTATCGCTGCAGCCGGAAGCGGTATGTCGGTTTTAAGCCGCTATTTTATTCTACTAGACAGTTTAAGAACTAAATGTCAATATTTAAAGCCTATGAAAATCAATGAAATGGCACTATCAATGAAATTTTCAGTGAAATTGAAATATTATTATTTCGGTCGAGTAGGTATTTGTCAAAAAAGTTCAAATTTTCGATAGGAAAAACAGTAACAACTGCCATGGTATATCTGCAAACCGACAATTTATTTCATGACGCTTCTTCACTTCCCGTTAGGTTCTTAAGATGTTGTTACGACCTTTCAGTTTAAGCCATCTGCTGTTTCTAGAGAAGTGATCTACGTTCGTCACAATTAGTTATCGAATTAATTCTTACTTGCAAATTATACTTAATCCTCAAACTACTCATTTCCGTACCGAGTTAAGCCGGAAGGGAACAAAATTGAATCTGTGCGGGAAACGTACAGCAGCTGGTTGCACTGTAAGATTTTCCTCTACAAAATCTAAAATATTGGGCTAGTTTCTGTTTGAAATGATTTAAAGTTTTTTAAACGAAGTTTTTTACTAAACATTTTCCCTAATAATATGGGGAAAAACTATCATGCAAGCCTCGTACAGAAATTCCATAGGAAGACTGGATCGCCTTCGACTAGAAATTGTAAGTTGTACAATCAAAGCATAATAATTGTTTTGGAAATTTAGAGTCCGATGGTCGTAAACAGAGGGAAAATCAAGCAGCTGGTGTCGCCATAGCAGTTGAACCCCCACAAATTCCTCCTGGTCAAGTAAACCAGGTGGAAAAAATTATAGAATCTTCCATTGTTTTACCGGACATCTGCGCGGAAACTCCTTCCGGAATACTTCCGTCTCCTGAAGAAAATGCGACCACGAGCGGCCGATACCAATGCCAGGTTTGCCGTTTGTCCTGGGACGATGACGAAGCATTCCTGTTACATTTGGCCGACACAATGCACGAACAGCTCCATGCCACCGGGAGTTTTCTATATTGTACTGGATGTAAATTTAAAAGCCGAAAGCCGGCGAAGGTTGGCAGACATGTTATTAAATACCAAACGCAAGCTGCGTCGCAGAACTGTGAATTGCACTCTATTAAAGGTCTCGATTAGCGGAATCAGAATATTTACTGCTGTTTTTTTTTGTTTTGGAAAATATGGGATTGTTCATTTTTCCGTTTGTTTTTCTATATATTACGAGGGTCACTCAGAAAGTAATGATAACTATCGCACGATTTTTTATTGCATCAGCGCTTTCCTCGTATTTTCTCAAAATACTGCCCCTTCATCTCTATGCAACGCAAACATCTAGTCTGCCACTCATCAAACATTTTCGAAAAGAAATTAGGTGGTAAATTAGAGATCGCTGTATTGATATTTTCTTCCAGTTCTTCATCATTTTCAAACTTTTACCACGTAACAATTTCTTCAACGTTGGGAAAATCTTGAAGTCGTGAGGTGCCAGGTCAGGCGAGTATGGTGGATGTGGGAGGATTTTCATTCGCGATGCCGAGATAAAATTCATTGTGGCATTCGATGTATGGGGACGTGCATTATCATGGTGATAAATGATCTTCCTTACGCGGCTTTGGGGTCTCTTTTTTCTGAACTTATCAAAGAAAGGCTGAAGAACATTTGCGCAGTACCACTGTGAATTCAATGTTGTGCCACGCCGTAGAGCCGATTTCAGAAAAACGCCACGCCTGCTGGAAATAAAAGCGTACATCAGCTTACGGGTACTCCTGGAACGCTTGACACTAGTGGGGGTGGGGTCGTCGTTTCCGATCCAAACTTGATTCTGCTGCTTCGTTAGGGGATCATAGTATGAAAACCAGGATTCATCCTCTGTGTACACGTCATATTTGCGTTCGGTCGAAATAACGTCAAAGATGTTCTGGGCCAATTCGACGCGGACTTCCATCTGGGCAGGAGTTAATAAATGAGGACCCATCGCTGACAAACCTTGCGCAGACCAAGCTCACTGCGGACTATCCCACAAACCGTTCCCTCCGATATCTGCAGTTCTTCTGCTATCTGTCTGACGGTAATATGGGGATCGTGTTCGATCAGCTCTCTCACTGCGTCCGAGTTCTTCGCCGTGGTCGCTGTAGGAGGTCTTCCAGTTCTGGCACCATCGTCGAGGTCAAAATGCTCAGTGCGAAATCGCTGGAACCAACGCGCAACAGTAGGATAAGAAGGAGAAGAATCAGGGTGCAAACTTTTCAACTCAGCATGACAACTGCGCGCGCTTTTCTTTTCTAAAAATTTTTCTAAGATGATAGCACGAAAGTCGCGCTTCGTTAAATTAGCCATGTTTAATGACTAGTGCAGTGAACAGCTCGACTCGACTGCGCATAGATGCATGCCAGTCGCCAGCCGTAGGCGGTATGGCCACGGCCATTGCCCTATGATCTAGTTATGAATGCTACAGTTTTTAAAAAATTAGTTCATAATTATATGATTATTTGCTGATACCGATTATCATTACTTTCTGAGTGACCCTCGTATGTCATATGTGTAATGAAATTTGTGAACATCCGGATGCAGTACAAGTAGTGTAAGATCAAAAGCTATTCGAAAACTGATCTACAGATACAGATACGAGTACACGATTGAAGACGTGATTGCTTTTGTTTGTATCGCTGTCGAATACCGGTGGGATTAGTTTTGAAAACTCGAACAACAAAATTTATTGATGAAAACATTCGGTTATAAAATCTGGCAAGGAAAACATTCTCTGATATTTTTGCATGAGCATTCTATTGAATTTCCCAAATAGTTCACATAAACTTGCTCATAAAATTAATACGAGTACTAAAATAATCCCAAATGCTTCTTTGTATATTTATTTGTTATACGTTTTAAATATACAAATCTTAACGTACATGTACAGTACATCGATAATTGTCGATGTACTGTACGTGTACGTTAAGTTCTGTAATGTCTCTTGTAATCTTTTCTAATGTGCCATATTAATTTTATAAATGTTTCATATTACAAAAGATTATTATTATTGTTGTAGTATATAATTGTACTTACTCGTACATATGCGAAATTTACGGTGTTTCTGTTTATTGACTTGTTATATAATTGAAGTAAAGAAACTTAAATATATGCACCGGTATATGTGATGATCAAAAATACATGCAAAAAGAACTCTAAGCGTTCACCAAAATTTACTGGTTCATTCACTTCACTGTAACAGCGTGGTGCAACGCGGACGTGCTGTATCTTGGTTTGCGTACAAAGAAATTCTCGCTATACATGTAATGCGAAACTCCATCTGCAGGGAACTCAATAGTGAAACTGCGTAAAATTTCGCATTATTTTGCATGTGTACGTACAATATATTTAACAATAAGAATAATTTATAATGTGTCACATTTATCGATGTACTGTACGTTTGTATGTGTAAGTAAAGTTTTGTTTACTTAAAACGTGTAACAAGTAAATATACAGAAGAACGGTAAAATTTCAACGTTAATTCATTTCCTAACGGCCTTAATCAACGGCAAAGGCTTTCGGAACGGTATTTTTCGACGATAAATTATAAAAGGTAAATGTTTTGACGGCGGCAAAGTCAAAGGCATAGGTAAAGTTGAAAAAGGCAAACTGAAACGGCAGAGGGGCGGCACAGGTGTTAAAGTAGGCCTACCCTTTCATTTCCACCGTCTTTAGCATAGCGCGTTTGTACAGCTTTTCATCCCACGGTTATGACCCGTATCAGTGCACGTTAAAGGTATCACATGTTTGTTTATGATGGCTATAATGGCCACAGGCCACGAGGGAATGAATTTCTGTACGAATTTACTAGTAAGCGGCCGACTTCGAAAATTTAATTTTTTCGGCCGGCGGTTTCATTGGGTCGGCCAACTTCGCCTTTGCCGTCCATTTGCCTTTGCCGTTTCAGTTTGCCGTTTTCAACTTTACCTTTGCCTTTGCCGTTGGAAAAGCCGTTAGCATTCCAGTTTGCCGTTTCAGAACGCCGTCTGTAAAAGCCTTTGCCGTTTAAAAACCGAATTACCGTTAGCACACTGCCATTTCAGAACTTTTTTTGCCGGTTTCCGGGTTCACGGTTTTTCACTATATTCTGCATACGGTATATGCACATTCCGCAAAAGTTTTAAAAATAATGATAATAATAATGGAACCTTATTATCCTTTGCACAGAGCAGTTGCTCCCTCTAGGCTTCAGACGCAGAAGTCAAACAACATAATGAGATAAAACATATCAGGAAACTTAAGCGCAAAAACAACAATGGTAATTTGAAGTGTAAAATGGTCGGCAGAAAGCCGTAACATTAGATTAAAGACATGCATAAAGCGCACGCTGGGGTCGAAGCATAGAACCAAAATATATTGTTCTACCATCTAACATTGGAAACTCAAAGTGTGCCGGTAACTTTAACGTAATCATTTTCTGTACTCAGGTAATGATTATGCTGTTCCAGGTAATGATTATGCTGTTATGTGTATACTGTTGCAGTATCACGTTATATCCATTGTTGCACATTCTGAAACTTAATTATGGCGGTGTACACAGAAACAAAAATATCAGGAGTTTAAACTTTAGCGAAGTGTACATAACGTATGCAGAATAATGTGAAAAACCGGAAACCGGAAACCCGCAAAAAAAATTTAGAAATGGCAGTGTGCTAACGGTAATTCGTTTTTCAAACGGCAAAGGCATTTACAGACGGCGTTCTGAAACGGCAAACTGGAATGCTAACGGCTTTTCCGACGGCAAAGGCAAAGGTAAAGTTGAAAACGGCAAACTGAAACGGCAAAGGCAAATGGACGGCAAAGGCGAAGTTGGCCGACCCGTTTCATTCTGGCTATGACAGAATTTATTACAGGCAAAAAGAAACATGACAGTCAGAAACACTGATAACTATCTGGTCAGGCCGCCGCCCGTACCGAGTGCACAGATACATAGATGACTTTTGCGGCGGAAAATGACATCTAAGGAATGTTAGTCGGTCTGGCTGAGGACACTGTGCGACGCGCACAAGTTTTCGGTCCAGCAGTACCAACAAAAATTGACGGCGGAGGATTTTATTCATTCACCTGACTTTTCCATGGAAAGTTACACCGAGGGAGCGAGCACCTTCGGCATCATCAAACTGGAAAAACCCTGACCTTACCGGCGTTACCGCAGACCTTACCAATGCCGCTCCTCGCAGGAGGATACCATATGTCTTTTTCTGCGTTTACTTTTAAAACGGCAACGAATACATGCTGACCCGGGAATTTCGATAACATACGCTTGTAGTCTTGTACCGTACATTCCGTAATGTACCCGGAAGTGACTCTAGCAATGCTCACCTTGCATAGCGAGAGCCGCGGAGAATCAAAAGTTGGCAGGGTATGTGGCGTTGGATGACAGATACTTGCTCAGCCTGTGGTGAACCTGCCTTTCCTAGATAGGGTAGTACAGTTTTAATTGCATTTTAATTACTTTCTGTGGTTTGTGCTAGCAGTTTGTGCATATATGCTATAGTCCGGCTGCTTCTCGCAAATCAGATAGTAACGAAGTTGCAGCCCGAACATGCAAGGTGCATTCGCCGTAGTACGGGACAGTAACAGAATCGGGATAAACCAGATAACAGTAAAGGTAACAAAAGGTAACAGAATCGGGATCAGAAGGTAACAGAATCGGGTCGGGTTTGAAGGTAACAGAATCTGGATAAACCAGTTGCTTTTTTAGTGGCTGTGTTGACCTTGCAACGTAGAGGCAAATAAATAAGTTTTATAAAATGGACATCCATCCGTCCGTGTGCGCTGAAGATCAGCCTTTTGCCTCTGGTTTTTTGTGCGTTAATGTACGCACTTGCGACTTCAGTTTTCGAATAAATTTCTTTATAGTCGAACTTCCATCTTGATTTTCATTAATTCCGGTATCTGTTTTCTAGTAGCTCTCATGTTGGTGTTATCAAATTGCAAAAACTGTCTTTGTATCCCATCATGCCCATCACCGTCCAATTTTTGATTGCTGTCAACTGCTGTAAAACAAGCGTTTCTCCGTTGCACGAAGACAATAAATTCACCATTGCACTACATCACTTCTCGGTAATCTTTTCATGACTTTTTATTTATGGCCTCTCATGACTCCACAAGCTGACGGTACCTGAAAACGGATACGGATACGTACGGATACTTATTCTGTTTTTACTTCCGTATGGTGTCAAAAATTCAGAAGTCTTCAAGTGGTGCTGAATCTGTTCATGTGAGTGATCGTTATTCTGATTTGGAAGATAAATTTATTACCTATAGCTGCCGGAATTACCGATGGACCTTACAGCGATAATGGAGTCGATCGTGATTATTATATGGAGCCGGGTGACAAAGAATTTTCATTTTTTATATTCTAAATCGGACTAACTTCAACGTCCAACACGGTAACACCTACCCTGGTAACGGAGAGTGTTATTATTGAGTAGCAGAAGTAGTTAGTAAGTTGGAACTCTATGGTTACCGTTGTTTTGGGTGTACCTACCCCTCAAAGATATGATAATTCAACCGGCGTTTTTAGTTTTTTTATGGTACTATAGGCACCTAACCGCACCTTCAATGCTTCTGTATTATTGGGAATCTTTTCTGCACCCGGTCAAATTACAAGTTTTCTGTTAACGCCAATTTACTGAGTGCAGCTCGCTTTCTATTTGTGTTTTTTTGGGCACATTTCTAGCTCATTAGAAGCTGGCTGTAAGCTATGTAGTGCCTTCGCAATGGTCATTGTCAGTAGAAAAAAAATCTCCGGTGTTTTCTCATCGCAGCAATTTGTTTTAGTGAACAAGATAACCGGCACCGGATAACAGATAACCGGATAAAAGCAGTCTGTTCCAATCAAGCTTCCCATCGCCAATTATGAATATAATCCGGCCGCAGGCGGAATATCCATATATCGCTCCCCAAACAAGCGCAGACCAATGCACAATTGCACAACACCATCAGACACAGGGCACGCCCAGTGCACAGCCGGGATGGAACGCAGGAGGTTTCTCCGGAGGATTTATGCATTTATTTAACCACCCATGCTTTACATTTAGCAGTCAGCAGATATCTCAAGGCATGCCAGAAGAAAACACTGGAACAGCTAGTGAGAGGGACGTGGACCCGTACTATCCGACAAATGGCAACAGCAAATAATTTTGCATTTATTCGACCGGGCTACAATTGGACCTACATTGTACGGAAGGCCAATGTTTCACCCTACTACATCAAGCGGGTTTTGTGTGCAGCTGGAAAAACCGTAATCTTTCGCGAATCAGATCAGAAGCGTTATGGCGCTCTGCGGCCGGTTGTTCTGGAGTTGTTCAAACAAAACTGGTCTTTACGAGCAATACAGCAGCAGGCCAAAACTTCCATGGTATGGGTGGAAAAAATAATCAAGGATGCCGGTTTCACGCCTCCTCCTAAAACACTTCCTGGCCACCGGCCGCTTTTTATGAATTATGTTGCTGCGGCAACCAGCTCCCCGCAGGAATGTGCTGACCAGAATAATCATGTCAGCATCACGACTATGGAGCAGGATACTGCAGTGTCCATATGGGCCATATCGGAATACCCAAAACAAAAAGATTTATCTCTCCAAAGTCAGCATGATCCAGTCGCGACAGTGTCTCACTCCGCAAGCGAATTATTTGCTAGCAACAGTGTCTTTCCGGATGACCGGCAGCGCGGATATCTGTCCGACACCCCAGAGAATGCGGAGTCTGGTCAAGAAAACAACGGCATCGCCGAAAGCACCACCGAAGACCGGAATGGTATGTATGTACGATGTACCGTAATTGCAATGAAATGAGGAAAAACAGTGCAGTATATTTTGAGTTTCTACTGCGAAATGCAGTACAATACCAGAGCATTGCTACTGTAATTCTATTCTGCTACAGTTTTATGCATGGAGTGGACTTCCGGGCCGCAGTAGATGACCTATAACAATTGTTACTCAGAACTTAATAAACCAGCGTTGTTAGCTTGCTGTAAAGGTCAAGGCTTTGCTGAAAATCAAGGTCCGACAGACTGATCCGTGATGTGTTGAACAACCTTATCAGTAAACCAGGCGATAAAAAGGGGATAAACAAAACAAAAATTTAGCTATCAAGGGTTCTCAGATTTTGCAGTTCTCTGTTAACTGAGGATTACCAGACTAAAGCAATTAAGTAAAAACAATCAACCGCCGGAAAAACATAAAAATTTTGACATTTCTGCGCCCGAACATTCGGGGCGCAGAGCTAAATTCTGTACGCAGGTTTTGTAATACATGCATGCCATTCTGTGCGCCTGGTTTGTCGAGGCGCACTGCCATTTTGTTATTTTAAAGTAAATCTTGGTGCTTAAACTGCATTTTAAAAATCTAAGGAATATTTTTCAAGGCTGGCCGTTCGTTTTGAATATCTTACGATGAACCTACCAAAACAAATTAATAAAATTATTAATAATAGCGTCCTGCTAACCACGTACAGCGGTACAGGCGCTACCCAGACGAAAATAGGATATTACAGTAATTCATGTTCTTGTGCCAAGTTGTTTGCGCATCCGAATAACCAAAATTTTTCAAAACATTTTAGCGCCCAGTAATCACATGGAACTGGATATTCCTGAAGTCAGTGTTGAATTAATCGAGTCGGCTGAACAATTCTTACCCGGCTGCAAAATACGACAGGAAGAATACAATACTTTACCGGACGCTTACCTGGAAAATGTCTCCGAAATGCCGTTGCTACATCCCCAAAATAGCACAAGCGGTCGTAGAGGACGATATCAGTGCCAGATTTGCTGTTTATCATGGGGCGAAGACGAAGCATTCCTGTCACATCTGGCAGACAGAGAGCACGAACAACTTTCTGCAAACGGGATTTTCTTGCATTGTACAGGGTGCAGATTCAGATCTCGAAAGCCGGAGACGATGGGCAAACATATTATTAAGTACCAGTCGCAAAGTTTACTAGAAAACTGCATCATGCATTCGGTTATTGCTATCCGCTAAAGAAAAAAGCACTAAAGTTTGGTGTAAAACAGTAAAAACGATCTTCTGGCTTGAGTGCGTTTACATGCGAAATTTAAAGGAGATTGGTTTATAATGATGCTCTTGGTACACCTGAATACATTTAGCCTTCTTGAAATTTTCTTATAGCCATAAATACCAAACCGGAAGCAGCGCGCACAAATGATTTTCACGCCTAAGCATACAACTCATCGGGCTACCGATTGCCTTAATACAAAGCAAAAAAGCCTTTTGCAGTGCGCAAAAGTGAAAGTTTTCGTGCTTGTATACGAATTTGGTACCATGTACCGGGTCACTTCCCTTAACTCTTAGTTGACCGATATGCTGTATTTTTCACCGTAAATGCCTGACTGTCTAAAATTGACGCAAGTGCAGACCGTTGGTCACCAAGAGCGAGTACATTATATGCAAAGTTTACTGCAAGTACTTGATAGAGTATTACATTAAATGATATACCATTATGGTATCCGCGCGCACACTACGGGAACTTGATAAAATAAAACAAGTAGATTTTAATTCCACTGATGGAGCAAAACCGAAGCATAATTCTCGGCATTGTTCACTTCTCACAACCGGAAAACGGCGTCGTGTTGGCGCAAAACTCTTTCAGTCTTCGTCGAGGAACTGAATGCCTGTAATTCAACAAAAACAAAAATTCGAGGTTCGGCAATAAAAAATTTTCTTGGAAGTTGATCAACAGCATTACAAGAGGTAGGTTTCTTGATAATACTTTGTATTTGAATAATCTAATACTGATCGGACGGTAAACTCACCATTTCCGACCTTAGACCAATAAGGATTCTTTTTGTTGGAAGTCTCAGTCCACCGACCCGAACCAAATGCGTTAATCACTCCGGCTTTATTATCGAAGGAAACGGCACCACACGTGTAAGTTCTTCTGATATTGTTGTAAAAGAGGCAGGTTCCCAGGTATGAGATTTTATTGGGTGGAGCGAGTTTGGCCACAAAAGCAAAATGGGCTACAATAGGGAGCTCCAGCTATTATTACGCAAAACGGCAAAAGTAAGATGTGAAACATTACGTACGATTTTTCCACTGGCTGCTAGTTGGTATGCCAGAACAGTTGACAAAATATAGTGGGTCAACCGTTGAATTAACCAGTTCCCAGTCAGGAATGATGTCCTTTGATACGCGACGGCGGCGAATCTTGTTCACTACTGTCTCGTCGTTAATCTTGGAGCAGTGGTTGCGGCATTCAGCGTGTATGTCACTGTAGTACATGCACACATATTCTATTCCAAAAATCTCCTCGGTAACTACTGTTGCAATTTGTGTCACCCAGCCTGCAAAGGCAAATTTTATTACCATCTCACGGAGTTCTGTTGGATGCGTATAGGCCTTTCCGCCTATTCGACCAGCCATAGATACTCGTATGTAACCACCGAAGGCTTCTAGCAACTGGCTGGACTAATTGTGGCGTCTCAGTCACTGATGTCGAAAGGTAACAGTAGGATTCAAAAGCCTACTGGTATTTTAATTTTCCACAAAGCACACTAAGGTGGTGTTCCAGTTCAACTTTGGCCGGCACCATGTATTTTTGCCCGTAATTACGAATATAATAAGTCATTAAAAATAATATTCAAATAGTTGTTTTTTAAATTTTATTGGGCCTACAATAAAAGTCTAAAACTGCAACATATTGGGTGGTTATATTTTTGTGGCTTGACAAAAAATGATCCGTTCTTAGCGTTTAGGTCAAATTTATCTAAATTTTCAGTTTAAAAAAATTTTATTGGGCTTACAATTTAAAAGTCTAAAACTGGAATGCATTAGGTGGTTATATTTTTGTGACTTTCGATAAAAAAAAGCAATTTCAGACGCCATTATCTTTTCCGGCCATACATTTACTGGCTTGAAGAAAAGAATGTGTAGGCCTGCAAACATAAAGAACACTCACCCATTCCAAATATCACTAGAAATAGCGGCAAAGCTGCCATTTTCTCTTGTGCAAGGAAAATTAAAATAGACTTTTTTCAGATTGTTACTGCATCCACGTCGGGCGGAATTCTTTGACAGTATCCAACAACAAGCCAATGCTGGCTGGAAAAAAAACAGCTTTATCATAAGTGCTGGATTGTCCTTGGGGAAAATTGAGCACTTTTAACTGCTCGCAGCCTTTCATAAGCGCCTTCCTAGCTGACAGGTGTAGAATAATGATTGCGGATACCGTGTGCCTTTTGCTGTAAGCAGAACCCACTTACCGATTCAACAGGTTTAATCAGAGTTGTTTAACAGTCGTCTGGAAAAATGTCCTTAGCGCTCAGTTAGCGCTTACTATCGTTACCGACACCATTATTGTGCATAACTATACACCTACCGTAGTCAGCCTCCATTGCACTAGAGGCGTTTTACCAGGCACCTGGAATACTCGTTGATAAATCACTTCAAGAAATTTAGATTCTTTTGCCGTGGTTGCGGCAAAAAAAATTTGCGTGGTTGCGGCAAATAAAACGCGATCGTTCCCGGCAGTTGTGCAATACACGGTCAACAGTCTTTTTTAACGTTAACACTCGCACTCGTCTATGGTTTAATTACACGGAGTTTTGTTGTGTGCCGCGCAGGCGCAGCCCATGGATTTGTCCTAATATGGTGTAGAACGGTCTGATATTCATCCAAAATGTTTTCTACACTTTGTTCTTCGTTTTTATTAAGCACGCAAGTAGAAAGAGTTACTTTTAATTCGGTAAACTGAATTTGAAAGAAGGGAGGACTTCGCAAGAAAAATTGGCAGCAAAGCCAAATCACGGGAGGCTACCATTTGTTCACCAACAGGAAGCGGTTGGAATTCGTAGTTTTAAAGTTTTCAGGTCATTTATTTTTACTAAATGTTTGAATAAGTAAAATGCAAACCAGTTTTCTGAGGAATTCAAGCTAGGTAGGAAGAAGTCAACTGCCAGTGTAACGTTCCCTGAATTTCTGAATGATTAAATGTGCCTCTCAGGCACATGGACGAGGGCGAGTGTTAACCAAATAACTTGCAAACGTCCAACACAAAGCCATTGCTACCATCAAGGAAATAGGAAAACGGGCGAAAACCCATGCGGAAACACTTCGGAGATACTCGCTCACACGAATTTTTGCAGCAGCGGTTGCCTTTAGAGATACACCGTGGAATGCGGCATCACTAATGGAAACATGGAGGGAGTCGAAAAGTTAAATGAGCTCTTTGTGTTGTGAAATAAAAAAGGTCACTTCTATGCGCCCCAAAATTTTAGGGCGTATAGTTATTTTGCTATGCGCCTAAAAAATTTAAGGCGCGTAGATAATTTGCTATGCGCCCCAAAATTTCCGGTCTAAAAAAATATCAATACGCCTTTATAGTTATCTACATCCGTAACATCTTATACACGAGTATGCGTTGTTCCGAATGATTGGCCGAACGGCTGGGCCGATTTTCACGCAGAAAAGTGCGTTAGAATCGTCGCAACGACGCCGGTAATGTTACGCTATTGCTTAATCGATGCGCCCCAACGGGTAAACAGAGGCCCCCAAAAGGAAATTGTTGCCATGGGCCCCCATAGACGGACGTGGGATATTCATTTATACAGTCGCAGCGACAGAGGCAGCCCGCGGCCTTCGGCATCGCTTTGGCAAACAAAGTAAAAAATCGCAAACCCAGGCCAAAATAATAATAGTAATCAAGCTAGTGATTAGCGCAATCTGTATTTTTTGCTTTGTTTCTTAGGTTTCATTAGATTTCGTAGGTGTCTTAGGTTTCGTAAATTTCTTAGCTTTTCTTGGGTTGCTTTCTTCGCTTTTCTTGGGTTTTCTTGGGTTACGTACGGATGTAGATCCCGTAAACTGGTTATATGAATACTAACTAAGTAACAAGGGTCCTCGACACTTTGTCGTTGTCTCGAATGTTCTACCGTTCCACCCATCCAATCTGGACGCTCTAAAGTGCAACAGAATCCTCTCAGTGTCGAGAGTGTTCCTGCATCATTAATTTTCTGGAATGCCCATTACCCACAATCCAGTGGTCACTCAAAAGCTTGTTACCATGGTGGCCATTAGCTTAACATGGGCTGTTTGTAAATCCCCAGATTGTTACTCTGTGTTATTACATCGAATTGTCATTGAAATTAGCGAACTGTGCATTAGCAAAAATAACAGGTTCTGCTCACGCCTGTTTATTTTGTTCGTGCCTCCTTAATGTAATAAACATCGTGCCATTATTTAATACATATGCACTTAACCCTTTTACATGCTCGAAATCCTAAGACATTATTCATCCGTGCTGGGCTTGTGTTATATTACGTGGAAGCATCGTAGCAACAAATCCAAATATAGTTGTAAACATGATGCAGACCGAACCCCTACTACAAAACCAAAACAAATGTTTTGTTACACGTTGTACTGTATTAACATTATCGTATATTAAGTAGTGTTAATGAACTGGGCAGCATCAGTTTTTAATCCAAAGAAAATTGCTGTAGTAGTGCTTGATTAATCTGAAATAATGTGAGAAACTTGTATTTTCCGGGATTACTGAGACAAATTCAAATCTTTATTTGTGGTACTTATACGCGGAACCATGGTCGACCTTGTAGAAGAACCGGAAGACTATTTCGTTGATTGGAGAAGATCAACTAAAAGCAGCTAAGCGAGTAGGTGGAAAGTGGGCGATATGTTAAATCGACACCCATTATCTCAGCAAGGTCGGATACCTATTGGACGCTCGAGTACTGGATGTCGTTTGCTTCCTCCGCCGCAATCTGTTAAGAAGTAACAGCCTTACAGGAATGCCGGCCCTGGGTAGGTGATGAAATGTCACCGCCCGTATACAGTAGCTCAACAAGTCCGCGATGATTTGAAAAAAGGGCACGTTGATCCAGCCACTATACGACCCAATGGGTAGACACTTCGTCACTCTAAGAGCAACATGGGCACCCGAACTAAAGGTCAGCGTGCTGTGTGCTCTTAGATGGGAGCCGACGGACTGAGTGAAGCTTCAAGTGTGGACTTTATGCAGTCAAGGCGAGGAACTACGCATTGATCTGCCCTTAGTCCCGCGCCAGGCATCCGGCTCCAACAACTGCGGAGTTCATGCAGCCGCCTTCTGCACTGATCACGTCCTGTCCAAGAAACCGAACGTAGAGACTGCCAACTATACTGATGAAGACCAGTTGAGGCAGTGGCTCAGGGAGATTATTAACGCGGAAGACTTACGGAAGCCACCTCGAAAGCGCGGCCCTAATAACCATGAAAAGACTGATCCCCAAAAGCCATCAATAACAGTTACCGCAGTAGAAATAGATAAGATACGCGGCCATACGCCGGAAACGAAATGTACCGTGAAAATGCGGTTGGACGAGGTGGACGGCGTGCCGTTAATTGCATGAAGCGAAAGGTATCGGTTTCTAATCCAATTTTGGTTTCTGATGTAATTCTGAATCTGTAATAATTCTACCAACTGAAAAAATGAAGATGATAGAATAGAATTTCTGTAATAATTCTGTATAGAATTTCTGTAATAATTCTGTTTCTGTAATAATTCTGTGTGATGATAGAATTTCTGTAATAATTCTACTGACGTGTACTGGCGTGCCTTAGTACACATCGGTACTACTTCTACTACTTCTACCCTTGACGATACGGCTTAGGCTTTACTACAGCTTTTTCTTGAGTCATGACCCCGAGTCTCAGTTTCGACTTCTGAGAAACCTCCAGCAGAGAACTTTGACCGCGACTTGCCATTTCGACGTGACCGCGAGTCACTGACGTAGCTAAACCTTTTGTTCTTCTGTACGAGCTGACCTCTTGTTCTTATTGGTCCACGTGTCATCAGATGTCTTTTATTGGCTAGTTTCTAAATCCCTATTGTTCTCAGATCCGTACCTGCGCGTACGAAGAGCCAGCACCTGCGAGTGCCCAGGGCTATATAAGGCGCTCGTCGCCCACAGAAATGTCAAGAGTTGTAATCCCAACAAAAGTAGAGTCTTGTTACTCGATCTGATTAACTTCAGGCTTTTGCTCTGGTCTTCTCTTTCCAAGTGAGGCTGTTCAAACTGACCTCTGAGTGACCTTTCACTTATCGTCAGGGGTCATTCCTCTATCTCGTCGACGTGCATTATCATCTTCGGATAGTCTCGTGACGTAATAGGTCACCCACTTGATCCCACTTGTTTGCCTTGACCTTTCGGTCCCTTCGATCTTCATGCCCTGTAGCGCCAGGTTGATGGACATTGCTTTTACCGCTTCTGCTAACATCTAGCGTGAGGTCAGGTAAGTATTACTCGTATCATTGTGTTACTGGTGTTTTCAGCAGGGATTCCTGAGTTCCAGCAGTTCCTGACTTGTTCCAGATCTTCTTCTTCTTCTACCATCTTCTACTTTCCTACCAGTTTGAGATAAGAGTAGCTCTATTCCGATTGTGTCGTGGTCGGACAAGTGGAGATTGTACCCCAATTCTACTGGTAGGACTTTCTTTCACGACATGGCGCCCACCTCAGGTTCGAACTTTCCCGATGGTACGGAAAGTCTGTAGATGGTAGATTTATTAATTTGATGGTGCAGGATGGTTGGTGGTCAACTCGAGAGAGCCCACATTAATTGAGTCCGTTAGGAGCCACTAGTGTGGTGCAGGAGGTCTGCGTTCCTGTACTGACCTAGGGTAACCGAGTCCCCCGGTTTATTTTATGTATAGATTGATTCGCACTTAGCGATATATATTTTGGGTGACAATACGGACTGAGAACAGTATAGGCACTTGAAAACTGTTCGTGTATGCGGCACTTTACGTGTCTATGATTGAAAAAGCACCGTAAGACCATTCGAGGTCAAAATTTCCTTTCATTTTATTTTCTTTTCTGAACCGGGCAAGCCAGAAAGACGAAGTGAACGGCAGCGGCAGCAAGGAATCGGTGAGTGAAAATTCGCGAGAAAATTCGCAGAATTTATAGCCGTTCATTTTATTTGAAATAACGCAGTGTCACTGTGAGCTCTTAATCGGCTACAGTGTACTGTAGTATTCAGCAACATAGTTGAAACCTTAAAGGTCAGCTATTGTTTGTGTAAAATTACAGTATCTCATATAAACGGGATAGCTGTACGGTAATTGCGGTGAAGCGGTTGAAACCTTAAAGGTCAGCTGCATGTGTATCAAACAGTGGTGTGTATCCATAA